ATAAGAATTGTTATGTTTTTGTTAACTTAGAATGAGCCATATTTATCTACAGAAAGAGCGAGTCCTCTTTACGGAGGCTGCCATGTTGAACCGCCATGTTTCTACTGTAGCCCAAAACAGACAAACCAAACACTGGCTCTAGATGGGGACTTGCATTTTTCGCATTTTGCAGGCCCCCTAGTTTCTTCTACACACTTCACAGCCTGTTCTGTTTCCTAGATCAACAAATAGAGTTGCAATCACCACTAGATGCCACTAAACATCCTACACACTGGTCCTTTAAGTGAAGATGGTAGGGGTTAGCTAGGCACTCAAATACTTGAAAATGCTGTTTTTATGTATATTTGATGGACAGCAAGAGGTAACTGAACAATTAACGCAGAACAGATAAGCTTTGAAAATGTATTTTTATTTCACTGTGTCTTTAACTGTGCGTTGGGCACAGGTGTTTTTGAGGAGCATCTTGCTTTTGGTGGCATCTGACCTCTTCATCACCTCAAATTTATCAAGTAGGATATTATTGTTTCTCTCTTATTATAGTCAATTAGACAGACTCCCCCTGGAACGTCATATACAAGTCACATAACCTAACTAAATGTAGGGAGTAGGGGACCTCAAAGGCAGATGACACAAGGCTGCTGTATGCATCTGTTTAACTACATATGTATGTGTTTGCAGGCCTGTATGCACCGTGGTTGTGTATCTCTGTATAAATTGTGTGTGTGAGTCCAACAGAGAGACTAATTAAGAGGCAGAGAATATGCATGAAATGGCACAGGCAGTTTAAAGATACATTATCAAAAAGACTGCCGGGCCTCTGAACATGCAGTTAGAAATATTCAACCCCTGGCAGAGCAGAGGAAAGAAACAGTGGAAAGTCTATGGACTTGTGGGAGAAAAAAATACACAAAGTTTATATCTATTCACACTAGTCCCACTTCTTTAGGGTAGTTATATCCAAAGCAACAGCAGCAGCAGAGGAGACAGTAGGGCGAGAAGGTGGAAGCAGCCTGCCGGATGATCTGCGCGCCCTCTTAGAGACTCCTGGTTGATCTCTTCCTGATTGGGTGAGCCGTGCGGGGAGACTGAAGCCACCGGGTGGTTGTTGCGGTTGGAGCACATGTCGTACAAGTTTCCGGAGAACTGCATCTTCTTGGATTCCTGGCGGAGAGATTCCCAGACAGCCGCCGCTTCTTCTGGACAGCCGGCCATTGCTACGTTGGCGCAGTCATGGAACTCATCCCATGACCTATGACAAAGAGGAGGACGAGACAGATGAAGAGAAATGAGGGCACCTTCAGATCTGACTTGGAATACACAACGTGAAAAGCCAGAACTTGTAAAAAGCAAAAAACCAAATGAGTAAAAAGCTTATAGTAAGTCATAACAACAGTTTACATTGGAAAATAGTAAAATCCTTCCTATAATCTGGTAAAAAAAATGTTGGACAGCTTGAATTAAAATCACAACAGTGATTAAACAGACAGCTCTGAAAATAACTGATAAAGATGTAGTGACAGTGAAGCATTAGTCCTTTCACTGAGAAAATCAAATTCAATCTGTTTGTTTGGCCCCTTGACTTCTTTTTGCAGTTGCCAAGAGACCATCTGCTGATCTTCACTGCTCCAAGAGCAAAGGTCGCCCTGTGGGTTAGACTGAAACGTGGAAAAACCTTCATTAGTTCAGGGAATGGAAAGGCTGTCATGAACTGGGTGTTGAATCACTGCTGTGTTATATCCATCAGAAGCAAAACACTTTCCTAGTCCTGAGAAGAGTAACAATAAGGGGAAAAGAACAGAAAAACAGAGTAAAGAAGGAAGCAATCTTACAGAGAGCTCTCTTGGATATAAACATATTCTTTTAGTGAAACACAGCTTTAAACTTTATTCTAATAACCTTCAAGCTCCACATCCAAAGCTGAGTCTGTCTCGACTGTAATTGGCTGCTAATTCTTTCTCTCATCGTGAATGTGCTGGCTAAGTTGTCTCTAAGGAAATACTGGCTGAGTATTAACTAGAAGAAGAAAGAGGGAGGGCTGGTGGAGAAAGCAGATGGCTCTGTTCAAAATTTGCCTGACACGAAACACTTACAGGACTTTAACACAAAAAAATGTTGCATATGATCAATACCATGAGGACCAGCACTTTCATAACAGAGGAGCTTGCATTTATGTCATCCTAACGCACAATACATGTATTTTTGTCCTATATTGTCCAGTGTGTAACATATAGGAGCTATTGTCAAAAATGGCATATAAAATTCATAGGTATGTTTTCATTAGTGTATAATCACCTGAAAATAAGAATCGCATTTGGTTACGTTAGAATGAGGTTTTTATCTACAGAGAGAGTGGGTGGCCTTCCGTGGTAGCCAAAAGCCAAAAACCAAAAGCTTAACAGTAAGTAAGTAAGTAAGTAAGTAACTAAGTAAGTAAGCTAAGTAACTAGCGCAAACACTGGAAGCAGAAAAAAATACAGCTTCCACCATAATTTTTTTAAAATTAAATCAGTCTGAAAACTCTGTTATTCTTTGAGTTTTCATAAAAAAAGATGTAAATGTATACATTTCAGTATGGAATTATTTCTAAAAATGATGACTGTTGTCTAACTGCAGTAGCATTGAGTCTGAGCTGTGCTATGGAGCATGTATTTAAGGTGAAATTATGTGAAAGTAGTAATAAAATAAATGTAACTTATGAAAGGGGCACATCCCTCTGATGAGTTTGTTTAAGTGTTACAGTTAGATTGTTAATTGCATGAATTTTCATGAAGCATGTAATGAAACATATTGATATATATATTGTTTTTCTGATAATAGCTCAGATAGATAAACCAAACACTGGCTCTAGATAGGGCTGCTTGCATTTTTCGTGCGTTTTGCAGCCACCGCAGTTTCTCCTTTGTGCTTGGAAAGGGAGGGTGAAGCGAGGAGGTTGCAATCTGCAACTACACCACAAGATGCCACTAAATCCAACACACTGCTCCTTTAACATAATCCCTGTACTTCTTTAAAAAGCAAAAATGTAGCAAAGTGGGAAGGCATCTGCACTTGTTGCCATGACCACGATGGTTACAGCAGTTATTGGTTATATAGCCATATCCATAACCCTTGGCAATTGAGGGTGAAGTGAGTGAACTGCAATCTGCAACTACATCGCTAGATACCACTAAACACACTGGTTCTTTAATACAGGATTTTTGTTGAGTTAAGTATTTGCAAGTGTTTAGCTAGTTGAATATATATATTAATAATAATTGCATTCGTATAAATATTGAATTGTACTAAATGTAACTGCATTAATAGCTTTGCAGCTAGATATACGCTGGCTTTGAGAAATTCCTAATATCTCAAATTTACAGCTGGAGGGCTGATGGAAATTCTTTCTTGATCGGCTACTTATACTTACGGTCTGAAACTAATATCAAACTTCTGATCAGAGTTCTTTTTCATCAAACACCAGGACTGTTACTTTACCCACATCTTTCAGTAACACAGAAGGCAGCTTTGCACAGTGTTTGGTCGTGTTCATTTGAACAGCAAAATCAATCTTCTTCAATTATACATGGGATACCAAAGGAAAGGTACACAAGAGAGACAAAGATTGAATGTATTGTTGGTAAGTCCAGCTGCCTCTGAATGGAGCAGTTTAGCAGTTTTGATTTATCACTGTAGTTGGAGAGGGATTGATCACCAGAATCTAATTCAGGCAAATAAGATAAATCCTGATGGGATGCGACGCTCTCCTTTGTTGCAGTCCTACTTTGTGATGCCCCGAAGGCTTGTATCATTACTAATCTTGCAAAGTGTAGCTGTAATTCTCACCTAAACTGAACCCCTGAAACATATCGCTTACAAAATCCCTTAAAGAAGTAAGAAGTGAGGACATTTGCTCAGTTTGGAGGATATATGTTATCTGTGCTGTGTGTCATTTTGAGGACATTTGCTTCTGATCATAAGTACAGAAACACAAGCACACAGACATACATATTTTCTATTTCCATCTGACAGATTCCAGCACTCATCTTCCCTCTTTGCTGTCACATGCTGTCCACATATATCAGTTCTTTAAACCCATCTTTAGCCACTTATGCAATCAATTTTGTGACTGTGTCGATACAGTGAGGAAGACACGCTCATGAACACACCCACATGCAGCTTTATAAAATGAACAGCAACCATCCCCGCTGCAGGCCTCGCCTCCCTTGATGACTCTGCATGTGTGTGTGTGTGTCTGTGTTTGGCCTGTGCCCAGGTCTTAAACACTCCAGTGGTCCACCTCTGACAGAACACTGCTGGAGGAGGACGTCTGCTTACCTGCTGCTGTGGGAGGAGCAGCTGATGATGGGGGTGGGGGCTGTGGGGTGCCAACATCTGGCTATCATCTGTGTACCTGTGTGTGTGCGTGTGTGTGTGTGTGTGTGTGTAAAAGTGTGTCTAAGAGACAGCTAGAGGATGACAAAGTCAGAAAGAGAAAGAAATGCCGGCGTGTGCAGTGGTGCAGTGTTTGTGTGGGTCTTCCTGCAGTGTGTGTGTGTGTGTGTGTTTGGGCGTAGGTGTGTGGGTCTTTGCTCAAGTCACAGGTGGTGCAGAGACAGCAAAAACACACTGAGGACACTGACAGACAACCAGCTGCTTTCACAATAATAAAACCTCCGGAGAGTATGTCTGTTCTGCAACTAACATGCTGCTGCTGACATCCGAAAACCTCTAAACCCCAGTTCTGGGCTTATTTTTCGTTGTTTTTTTTAACTTGAAATGACTGTACACAGCAATATGGTCATCTGGGTGCTCATGGCTCTATGTCACAAGATAAATTTGCTGACATATGGGGCAATATTTCAAACACTTAGCTAAACAAAGTTGTTTCAGGAAATTGGAGAAGGCAATGGAGTGCAAGTGAGGAGAACGGAGAAGAGTGAAACACAGCTGAGCAGCACAAGAGATAATAGGGAACACGAGGAACAGAAAGGTGCAGTATGTTCAACTCCAGTGACACTGCACCTCGCATATCTGAGAAGAATGACTTAGGGTTTTTAACTATGGGGTCAAGACTTCACAAGGAGTTAGTTGATGTGTAAATGCAGAAGATCAGACAGTTTCAAGATACATTTGACCTCTGACCTCAATATATCTGAATGACAATGGGTTCTATGGGTCTTTTGGGCATGTGCTATAAATGTGTTATTTTCACCTAGTGTACTTAAATGTAGGGTCCATTAACAGTATTTGACTTACATAAATTGCGAATGATCTGAGACATAAAATAAATATAAATATTTGACACCTATCCAGCTCTGGACTCCCTGATTTATTTAGAATCACTGTCAGGTAGTGGTCGACCAGTATGGGTTTTCACATTTAGAGAGCTGTCGTTGGCTGATATATAATGCTGATATCAAAAAGAAAAGTCATGTATAATTCTATTCTATAGGAAATTCAGGCATATGTTTACAGCAGGATGCATGAGAGTTAAAGTACAGGACTCGAAAACCAACTTTTTGCACCACCTTCCCAAAACTGACAAGAGGGAGCACTGACATTGTTTCACAGCAACCACACTGACGAGGCTGCCTGCAGATGTGTCTGAAAACATTTATTTTGTTTATCTGCCTCATTATTTTAACAGCTGATGCTGATTATCTCAAAATCACTGGAAATTTGGGCCCTAAAAATGGGGCCAGGAAAGGTAGGAAGATTAGTATGACAGGATACAGTTCAGAAAATACAGTGGAGTAGAAAACATTGGGCAAATCATAGTGAGTATATTCATTAAGATTATTAAATTACAGTACATTAAAAGTGAGTACAATAAATTGGCAGTAAATCAAGATAATGAGCTGCAGAGTGCACCAAAGTCAAAGTAGGGAGCAGAATAGGCTGCTTCTTCCTTCAACAAAAAGCAGGTGGCATTTTTCCATTGGACACTGAAACTCTGTGGTGAACAAAGGTTGATGATACCTACATGTTTTTTTCAGTGAAATAATCTCCACAGATGACGTAAATGCAAACACCAGAAGTCAAAAGCTAATGTTAGGGTATAAACGAACTAGACCACAGTCATATGACTTCAGTGTCACCACCGCTAAACTTGAGTACAAACACAACAAGCCTTTAAATGAGGACTAGATTACTCTAATTCTGATTACTTTATTTGTATTTCTATTTTACCACACCATTACTTATAATACTTTTAGATTCATGAGTCATTATGGTACCAAACTAGCTTAGAACATTCCACAAATATAGTTTCTCAATCATCTTTTACATCAGAGCTGGAAATAACCACATGGATGTAAAAGCTAAAACATCAATTATGTGGCTCTTTTTCACATCCTGCAGAAAGCATCGTGACTATTCTGTCCAAGGTTGATGTACTAAAAGGTTTAAAAAAAACTGTTGCATGCCTCTAAGCTCCAGCAAGTTGCGAGCAGCATAGAAATGAAAAGAATTCAGCTATTCTTGAGCAAGAGTTTGACAAAGCTTTTATATTAAAATCATCACACTTCAGCTGCAGTGGCCTTCATCAGGGTTACCGGGTTGACGTGCTTGAAGAAGGCTTCCTTCACCTTGTTAAAGAGAAACAAATTGTTCTATTTTCCACTCACACAATACTTGATCTATATTTTGCAGCTGCAGTATCTCAACAGTAAAGGCTTAAACTGAAAATGACTATTTTTATACACGTTAAACAACAGATTTCATGTAGAACCAGAGGCTTTTACAGATCTATAATCCCACTTTCTTGTATGTGACAGCTTTTTTTGTAAAAATTAAAAAAGGCACTACTAAAACTCTTCCTTCTTGCAGCTTTAAATCATTTCTAAATCTACACGATAACCAGAAAGAGGTGCAGAACTTGGGAATATTATGGAGTCTTTGTTTGGCAGCCGTGGAAATCCTAACTGCTGCATCCTAAATGAGCTGTATAGCTGAAAGTGACTTCAAACCGAGTCAGGGATAGGAATAGAGACGCTGCAATGAGATGCAATAGAAGCATGAATGGCCTTATCTAAATCTGTAGAGGATATAAATATAAAGGCAAATCAAAAGGCTGCTGTGAAAGAAGACAGGGTGAAAGGGTGGAGGGGGACGGGGGGCACTGTATTTGTGGTTGAACTCGCAGTAGATGATACTATACTCATCTTGAGTGGCTACAGAGTTATGTACATTGTAAATCAATACTGTTATAATAGCCCGGTGTCTCTCTGATCTCCCCTGTCTTTGTTGGGGGCAGCGTTCTATGTCGGTGACAGGCTTTTACTCTTTTGCACCAGATCTTGCTCAGACAGATGGTTTTTCTCTGTGACCGTCATGAACTTTGACGTGAAGTGTTTACGCGCTGAAGTAAACTCTCTCTGCAGTTCGTATGACTGTTGTGCACGGATCAATTCAAACATTCCGCTATGTCTTGTCGTGGCCCTATCGGATAAGTATATATATATAAAGGTAGAATAGACACAGACCGTTGGGTAGGAGCCTTTATGAGCACTTCGAGGGACATCCTTTTTTTCCGTCTTCTGCTGGTTTGAGATAGTGCGTGGGTAATCTGAATGGTCTATACTTTGGGAGTCGCATAGGTTTCTAAAATTGACAAAAATGCTTGACTGTGAATAAAATGATGTAACCGATGTGGAATGTCACCCTGACAGAAGATGAGTACGATTATGATACGTAACTTTATATTTTGTGTCGGCGATTAAGTGCTTAACAACTGGCTTTAAGCGGTTTCTATCTCAGTAATTTTAAGATCATGGAAGCCTCTTTTGGGAGACCTGCATTTATTTGTCCAAAACGTGTAGCCGACATCTACAGGGTTAGTAAGGAAATTGCGTCTATTTTAGGACCTGCTTAGAAGTTTTACAATATTATGAGTGTTGGGATAAATACAGCGAGAAATGACAATTACTATGGAATATTTTAGTGATATTAGATGGCCCAAAACTTGATGTGGTTTTTAAGTAGTGGCAGTATTGTATCTATACTTATTTTAGTCATTGTTTTTATGATCAGCGGATGCTCTGTAAGTGTACTTCCTCAGTGGTGGGGGAAGAGGCCAGCAAACCCAAGCCGCCCCCCTCTTCCTCAGTGAGCC